TGGCACTTAGTGCCATGGTCTAGGAACAGCAGTAGGGTCGGACTCAATGATCTTTGAGGTCTTTTCCAACCAGGTTGATTCTGTGATTCACAAGAGCACAATACAGCTTTTTCTGTGTGTTGAATATTGGGGACGCTTCTTTCAGAAGCTCTATGAAATCATAATGGGTGCAGTCATCTTCTGGCCAGATTTGATTCCCTGGAATGTGATTTTGTTCCCATCGTGGCCCTGGAGACAGTATCTTGCTTGGAGGCTGTGCGCTCATTTGCGCTATAGGGAGACAGGATGTAATTAGAAGTAATTCTGTGGAAGCAGAAGCCAATCCTGTGCTATTGCAAGTATTGCAGTTGGAAGGTTGTTCTAGAACCCTTTTGCTCTCAAAAGGTCTATTATAATTTTCAACCTACATTTATCAGATCATCCCGGTTTGGTTTTGTGCCTCTGCTCTGTGATCATTTAAATAACTCCTCTCTCTCCTTGGCATTTAGTGTGCTGTGGGCAGCAACTGCAGTTGCTTTTTATCTTTTAGAGATTACCTCTCTCACATCTCATCCAATCGCTCCCCTTCTCACTGGCATTTTCTAGGTCTCCTTGTCTGCACCTGCTGAAGTTTTGGGTTGATTGTTCTTTTAGAGAATTGTATGTGGTATTCTAATTGAGGTGTTGTGTTGCTTTATGAAATGCTGGTTAGATTACTATACGTCTGTCAGTTGGAATACTTTAAGTACTGTATTCCCAATCGTGCCTTGCCTCTTCTCTGCACCTCTCGTGTGTTACTTAACTGGCTACTGTGTCTTACATCCGTTGCTCTCGACCGATGACCTCCTGTGCTGATGGTAAATAAATGTCAATCTGGCAATTACTTGAGAACTATATTGAATTTCATTCCCTAGTTTTCACTAGAGCTTTCAGGTCAGGGGTTCTTCCTATGAAGTTTTGCCTCTGTCTCTTATGCTCTGTCTCTTATGCCTCTGATGCTTTTCAGGTGTACATCTTTTCAACCTCATCTAAACTATGGGATGGTATACAGTCTGGTTTGGCATTGCCGACTGTTGGTGGACTGGATGAGTGACGAATCTGAGGATCATCTCCTAGAGATGCATTGCTAAATGATAAATGGTTAATTGATGTAGCTCAGTAAATATGGGTTGGTGCCCAACTCGCACTTTTGGATTGTCCCGCAGGATTTTTCTTAAGCCAAAGAAATAACGGATCATGTTTCCTTTTGATGGCACCTGGGCATCCAGTGGCAGTGAGGAAGCTAGATCTCACTATGGAGCAATGAGGCTTCTGCAGCTGCTTCATCCCATAGGCCTTGGAAGCATTTGTGTTCTTGTGTTCTGTCTCATACTGTTGCACTGGTGTGAGGGCTTTTCATTAGCTGAATTTGAAGTGGGGCAAAAAGCACCTAATGTAAACAGAAACAATTCCTGACCATGGATATTTGTTCTGGGCCAGGTGGAGATCCAGTTGGAGGAGATTCAGAACGAGGGTCTCCTGGTGTCATGGATGTTCAAGGACAGACCAGACTTGAACCTTTTGGTTCTTCCAAGACTTCAGCTTCGTGAGGTGGGTGGTGAACGGTGGGAGGCTGGCCTTGAGTGGAGGAAGGGAGGGAGGAGCAGAAACAGTTGGAAAGAAGGCTGCTGCAGAGGGGAGAGGTTGGCAGCTCTCTGTCAGTGACGAGGGAGGGAGCTCTTTCACCCTGGAATTGATACTAGCTCAGCTGTGCCAGGACAGCGTATCTTCAAGAAGGCTGAAGCGGTACTGATGCCTGTTGATGGCTTTCTGTTTATGTGGGTTTCTCCTGCTGTTGTCAGATGTAGAGCTGCAAAATTTGCTGGTTTGCTGCTTTTTTGTGTGTGTGAGGGAGTGGTGGTGTTTGATTGGTTTTGTTGGTTTTATTTGATTGAGAGTTTTTTGAGAGACTAAGGTGGGGAACCCATGGGGTTAGAGGCTTAATGAGCTGAATGTGGGCGTGCTTGTGCTTCTGTGATCCAGATAGGTTGATTGAATTGTTTTTGTTGACACCCTTGTTAATTTTTGCTGAGTGGATATAGGAATTTGTCTGTTTTCCCAGAAGTGTGGTAGTACCCTCTCGTGAGGTGGTGAGAATGTGACAGACTGTAAAAGCTGTATTGTCAAAATTTACAATGGGTGGACTACAGATGTAGAGGCTTAGTTTTTCTCATTTAGAAAACTTGCATTTGCCTGCAGCTGCTACATGGAAACTTTGAGTACTGGGTAGAGCTAGGCTTGGATATGGGAAGAGTATCTGGGAGGTTATCATTGTGAGAAAGACTAAGTGGCATCTTAGAGGTTTGAGAGACAGTTGAAGCTGTCTAAGGAGAAAACGTGTGCGCCTCATTATGATTTTCCTGCTTTTCCTCTTGATTTGCGGAGAGAAGGATGAAGGGAGAGCGGATCTGTCCACTATAGAGGATCTGATTGAGGATACCATTGTCAGCACGCAGCCAGCCATGACAGTGAATCTGAAGGCCTGCACTGCTGGAGCCAGTGCGGTAAGGCATTCTCCTCGTGTCATTCTTGTGCCTCAGATACAGGCCCCAGAACACTTCTGAGGGCTGAGGCTCAGGCAGGTATCCAGGGGTTAAGTCTCACTTCTGGGTAGCGGCTGAATCCTGGCCTGCACTGTTGTAGGAGTTAGGGTACTGTGACATGGGGATAATTAGATACTGCTCCAAAGGGCAACTCTGTTGGTACCTTGTTTCTTGAATGCCGATTGTTGGTTGAGTTGCAGAGGAGCCAGACTGCCTGAAACACATCTTTGTTTTGGCGGTGTCCCTTGCTGTGAACACCAAGGCTCTGTCCAGGTCAGCCTTTACAGGCATGGAATGGTCTGTGGTTTGTCATTGTCAGCTGATGGTCTGTCAGCCAGCAAGCTTGTTCTTAGCCTGTCTCCTTTCCTGTCTGCCTTAAAGTTTTTCCCATCTGAAATAATCGAAGGGCCCACCGGAGGTCGATAGCTTGCGAAACCTGCAGCATTGATAGCTCTATGGGTATTCCACAGTGTTGCTGTGAGGAGCTACTTAGTAGATGCAAGGACAAATGTCACGCGTCTTGCTGCTATGTGCTGGCGAGTGAACAATGAAGGCATTGGTCTCACTCTCATCATTCCTCAGGTACCCAGCAAGAAGTTGACTCGAGAGTCCCCGTCTGGAGCAGCAGCAGCAGCCCCTCTGGGTTCTAAGCTGTTGCTCCGGAATCTTCGAGTGCAGAACTTGGGCTGCCAGGGGAAGGGAGGTAAGTGTGAAAACATAGCTTGATCCACAGGGGCAAGTGCGCAGGTGGTAAGATTAGAGCGAGTGGATCTTTTTGGGTGGCTTTGAATGGAAAAGATGGGTGTGTGTCTGCCAAGCCACTGCCTCGTATTGACAAGTGCATATGTGCCCTCTGTCCCTCTGTTGTAGGAGTTGGGGAGATACGCTGTGTGGCAGAGCTAGACAGCCCCCCGCAGCAGAAGTGGACGAGGCCGTTGACAGCTGGCAGCGCCAGTGCTGTGGCAGAGATGGAATGGAATGAGGAGCTCTTTCTGTAAGTGTCTGCCCTCCTGGCTGGCACAGTGGAGTTGGTCCGGCACAGTCTCTGGGCGTCATTACCATACTGCAGTAACTGATGCAGATGGCACAGAAGTGAAGTCTGCAACACAGGGCAGCATCTGTTTGTGCTGCCGGTGTGCTGGGCTGCCGATTCTAGGAGTTGGCCCCAGCTTGTGTACTTATTTCCTGCTTCCCTGGACACTGTGTTTTAACTGGGTGGGCAGAAGTGCTGATTGTGGGAGCAGCAGGCACAGGAGGCCTGTAGCATACATAAATTTCAGCCTTCCAGACAGATTGCCCTCTCAGCTTCTCTTGGGAGCCTACACGGCCCTGCAGGGGACATGAACCAGAGTTCCATTCTGTGTAGTTTGCTGCCCCAAAGCAGCACACACTGGAGCTTTGGAGAAGGTGATGAGGCATGCAAGATTTGAGGAAGGGAAGATACTTAATGGGGTTGTTTGTTCCATGGCCGCTTTGCAAAGAGCACCTAACTCCAGCCCATCTTTTTCGGTTTCAACAGGGAACTGGGACCTAGAAGCAAAGAGCTGAAGCTACAGATGCTGGGGAACAGTGACGGAGGGGGAAGTGAGTACAGGCAGACATAAGATGTGTTGTAAGATGGGGAGACAAAAATGTCTAGGGGCCTTCCTGTGCTTTAAGCCTGTGGAAGTTCTGTGTCGGTATAATGTATGATGAACTCTGCAAAGGATTTTTTATATCCAGCTTTATGTGAGCCTCTGACTGTGTGAAGTAACTCTGAGTTCTGTTCTTCTTACCGAAATGGTCTGGGTCTGACCTTGAACCAGGAGGTTCCTGTGGCCTGCCTGTCTCCACTCTGAAGGAGGCAGAGGCATGCAGGTATTTCCTGCCATTAGAAGAACTTTGCAGAAGGCTCTTACCTCTGTTCATCTGTACTCAGGGACTAACTGCAGCACCTATTTTTGGTGGAGACTGCACAATGGCCACGTTTTTAGGGGAGTTGGTTTCTGGATTGTTAAAGAGGAGCAAAGAAGCGCTGCTTCCCCCTCCTCCCTTCTGAACCTGGGAGCTGGCAGAGTTGTGGGGGTCTGCTTCCTTGGCCCACGGGGCTGCTTGCCTGGTAAAATGTCTGAGGTGTTGAGGTCATGTGGTGTGTTTCATTTTCTTGTTCCTTCTTGTAGATGTGCTGCTGGCATATGCCACACTTCTGATTGATTCTTTGGGCAAACGACCATCTGGGAAACAGGTCTGCTCACTGGCCCCGGGACCTGGGCAGTCACTAACAGCTGAAGCTACCATTACATTGGAGGTGAGCTTACGATTCCCAGCTCTGCACACTTGTGTGCTCCAGAAGTGTTCATGATGTGAGCCTCTAGCTTGAGACAAGCGTGTTTGGGCCTGAACTCGGCACAGGGGACTGGCAGACCCTTATGCTGAGGAGGGATGTTGCCTCACCCTCGGTCCCTAGGCCTCCCTCTATTCAACTGATACTGTAGAGAGGATGGTGCCTTGGTGCCCAGAGCCCTAACCTTTGTTGTCCTAACATGCCTGCCTCTCCATCTCGGAGGAGCAGAGCCTTTCTGAGCTGTGCTTTACTCTTTGTAGCTGCTATTCCAGGAGTCTCCTGCATCTCTGAACCCTCAGAACACCACATCTCTGCGAACCAGCATCACCCCCACTAAGAAGGTTGAGATGGACCGGACCATCATGCCTGATGGCACCATCGTGACTACTGTCACCACGATTCAGTCCAGGCCCAAGGCAGACTGCAAACTGGGTGAGGCTGCCCTGCAACAGGTGCATTGTACAGGTGGCCACTATGATACTCCCGTGGCTGCTCACGCAGACTGTAGCAAAACTGTTTAGCCATCACACGTGGTGATTGCGGACTCGTACCTTAAGTGTTGCTTCTGGTGTCTGGGTTGGAACATGGGCATCCTTGCTGTTCCCTTGGCGTTTTGTGACTGACTGGAAACTTGTGTGTAGCCTTGAGGGAGGGAATTGATGAAGCCTAGTGTTTAGGGGGAGGTAAGGGATGAGCCTCTCATGACACCTTTTGGTGGTGGGAGGTCTAATGCATGTGCTGCCACATCACCTCTGTGTGATGCTGGGCTAAGTTTTTTGTCGTGCTTCCTCTTATTTTATTCACTGCTTCCTTATGTACTAGATATGGAGCTGAAAGCATGTAGACCTTTCTTACTAGGGGTTGTTGCTGCTTGCAGTCTGGCGTTCTGATGAATGTGCTGGATATTCCATGAGGTGGGAAGTGGCGTGAACGAGGTCTTGCGATGGGGCTGCTTCATAGAATTGCAGCCCAGAAAGCCAACCATATCCTGGGCTGCATCAAAAGAAGCATGGCCAGCAGGTCAAGGGAGGTGATTCACCCCCCTGCTCTGCTCTTGTGAGACCCCACCTGGAGTACTATGTCTAGCTCTGGGGGCCCCAACACAAGACAGATGTGGACCTGTTGGAGTGAGTCCAGAGGAGGACCACTAAGTTGATCACAGGCCTGGAACACATCCCCTGTGAAGACAGGATGAGAGAGTTGGGGCTGTTCAGCCTGAAAAAGAGAAGGCCTTATAGCAAGCAGCCTTCCAGTACCTAAAAGGGGCTTACAAGAGCGCTGAAGAGGAACTTTTCACATGGGCGTGCACGGGAGAATGGATTTAAGCTGAAGGAGGGTAGACTTAGATTAGCTATTAGGGAGAAATTCTTCCCTGTCAGGGTGGTGAGGCACTGGAACAGGTTGCCCAGAGAAGCTGTAGATGCCTCGTCTCTGGAAGTGTTCAGACCAGATGGTGCTCTGAGCAACCCAGTCTAGTGGAAGGTATATCTGCCCATGGCAGGGGGGATTGGAACTAGATGATCTTTAAGGTCCTTCCACCCAAACCATTCTGTGCTTCTGTTTTTTAGCCAATAGGCTTCTTAGTGCTCTGTTGCCGCAAAGTCTTACAGAGCCAGCCTTACAGGCTCCCTTCGTGCTCACTTGAGGCATTTTGGGGGTGTGCTAGGGGGCAACAACATAGTGAAGTTGCCTAAGCTTCATCTCCACTTACTGGTATCTCTATGTCTCTGCCTCTTTTGCCTTGAAGATTCACCATCAAGGTCTCCTTCCAAGGTGGAGGTGACTGAAAAGAAGACAACAGTGCTTTTGGAGACCAGCAGCCCTCACGGCCCCTTGCCCAGTGGTAGCCGTAAGTGCTTGGAAATTTGAGGCTCTTAGTGGAGTAACTGTGTTCCTTAGCCTGTCTTGGAGAGCTGCAGAGGCTCAATGAACTTGTTTACATTTGCTGCAGCAGAGAATGTTCAAGTGAAGGTGGGGGCAGAGGCCTGGGGGCATGTAGAAGACATTCCACTTTGGCTATCCAGTCAGTGATTCTGACTGTATTCTTGCTTGACAAGAATATTTCAGGCTATCTGGACCAAAAGAGCTTTGCTCTCCCTGTACTCAGGGTGTGACACTGATTGTGTTTGGAACAGAGTACTGCAGCCATTTTGACAGCTTGCAACCAAGGCTGCCCAAACTCTTGGGAGTCTTCAGAAGTCTTTATTGAGTGGGAGGGGTGTTTTAATGGTATATGCCTGGTGGGAAATGAAACTTTTCAGGTGCCTAAAAAAGCCAAGAGCTAGCTATGCAGAACTTCTTTCCTTTGATTTATTTGGACAAGACTGTAACAAACTCTTCTCTACCTTTGTGCGCATGTAAGTTGCCTATTACAAGCATTGTGATCAGCAAGCGAGCTCTGGCCTGTGCCGAAGGTTGCTACTCCAAGCATTGGTATTTTTCTTGTGCTCAGGGGATAGCCATATGCCCAATGGCTTGGATCCAGTGGCTGAGACAGCGATCAGACAGCTAATTGAGATGAATAACAAGCCCGCCAAGAAGACACCAACAAAACGTAGCACACTGATCATCTCGGGAGTTTCCAAGGTCTCTGGTAGTTAGGGGCAGCATTTTCAATCTGGGAGGTCATTTCTAGGGATTCGTGTGTGAAAATGCCCTGTCCTGTAGGGACCAGTGTGGGAAGGTTCCAACACGGATGACTGGCTTGGCAGAACCCTTTTTTGCTGCTTCTCAGTGAGCATTAAAGGTACCTTGCCAGTCTTCAGGGCAGCTGCCAGTTGGAGTTCACAAAGGGCAGCTGCAGAAGGGCAGGCTGCTGCCATAGCTGATTTTGAACCTCACGGGGAATATAAGGAATACTCCTTGAACTTGGCTAGAGGAATGAGGGAGGTGTGGCAGAATGCTTTGAAACCGGCCATGTTCCAGTATGTTTCAGCAAGAGTGACGATTGCTCATAGCTGCTGTCTGGCACTGGAGCATCCGTTTGTAGGTGTAGATGGAAGAAGGGAGATGAATGCAATTCTTCTGATCCTATCTTCATGTCTGTTTGCTGTTCTAACTCTCTTTCAGGTACCTATTACTCAAGATGAAATGGCACTTTCTCTGGGTTATGCTGCTTCCTTGGAGGCCACAGCGTACGGGGACTCCGCGGCAGAGGGCACAGCTGACCAGATGCATGATTCTACCGAATCGTCACTGCTGCTGGAAGCGTTGCCGTTGGGACAAAGAGCCAGTCAGGAGCTGGATGAGACAACTCAATCGGACATCTCTGAGAGACCATCGGTGGAAGATGTTGAGTCTGAAACTGGCTCCACAGGAGCCCTTGAGACCAGGAGCTTGAAAGATCACAAAGGTAAGGATTAACTCTTCGACTAATGGTAGCTAACATTAACCTGTTGTACTTGAGGACAAAGTGACATCTGAGTTCCCCACCCAAGCACAGGGTCTGTAGCCCACTTTCAGCATGGTGAAGAGCAGCTTCTCCTGGAGCCTGGAAGAGCCTGCCTCTCTCCTGAGTATTCGTTGGAGTAGTTTCAAATTCCTCCATTTGCAGCTCTCTGATTCCTGTAGCCTTTTTGGTTTCTGTGCTCTCTTAGATGGAAGCCTTGCTCAACTTGTGCATTCTCAAGAATCCGTTTTCTCTCTGATGTGGAAAGGGAGGCGGCCCAACAATGTGGATTATATGGGCTTTGATGCCTTCCCTCTTTCTCTGTTAGCATCAAAGCAGCTAGTGCCTCTGACCTGTCGTATTGCAGGGTGTCCACACAAACTCTCTGCCCCACCTTTTCAGGCTTGTGTCAGTTAGGCAGGTGGTGCACCTTGGATTTGTCTGCCTGTAGCTGCGACAGTTTCATCTAGCTACCAACTTATGCTAATCAGAATCTCGATTGCTCGGAGTTTGATTGGGACAAGTTTTGAGGAGTTGTACCATGTTACAAGCAGGTTTGGTTTGAACTGTGGAGGCTCCTTGTTAGCATGGCAGTGGGTAGAAAGGTGTGGGACCCCAGTTCTAGACAGACTTGGTGGGTGGAGAAGAGAGGGAAACCAGAAAGCAAACCCTCTCTGTAGGAAATACTGTCATAGCGTTGTACGGAACACAGGTGTCAGATATGCCTTTCTGAGCCATTTGAGGCTGACGGCAATTGGTGCCTCCATCTTGTCCCACTTGTGTGAGTCTTACGGAGCCATTGGCGTTATTTGCCTTCAGATTGGGCATGTTGTGAAACCACAGGCACTTGTTGCAGGGGCTTGATAACCAGTTCATCCATGTGCCCTCAAGACAGACTAGTCTGAGAGGCCTTTTCGTCCTCCTGCATTCCTCCCAGTGTCTTCTCATTCAAATTTTCTCACTTTGTTTTCCATTCATGTGTGTCTTGGCTTTCTATTACAATTCTGCACACTTCCACTGAGGGGAGGATGTTCTCTAAAAGAAAGTTTATGCAGGGAGACCATGTGGTGGAATACTTAGTGAAGTAGCTCGTTGGTACTGCAGTCTGTCACAGAGGCTTTGCCTTGTGGCCAGGAGCTGGATTTGCTGACCTGCCATGTGCTTCTGCTGCTTGGGGCAGAAGAGGTCTTTGCTGCATATCTGAGAGCAGCTGTGTGTGTTACTGTCCCTGAAACTCACCAAGACAGGATACTGTCATGGTTTCTGTTTCCTTCCTTTCTGCTTCTGCAGTTAGCTTTCTTCGGAGTGGTACCAAGCTCATCTTCCGGAGAAGGAGCAAGCAGAAGGATGCAGGCCTGAGCCAGTCACACGATGACTTGTCCAATGTCACTGCCAACTCTGCCGCCAGGAAGAAAGCTGGCAGCTTCTCTCACCGTCTCATCAAGCGCTTCTCCTTCAAGTCTAAATCCAAACTCAAAGGTAGTGACAGCATATCAGCAGGTGAGAACTGAAGGAGGGAGAAGCCCATCGGAAAGATTTCTGAAAGATCCTTTTCTAGTCTCTTGTCTTCCCACTCCATGGTATCTGTGACCTGCAGTCCAGTTCTTTCCAGCCTTGGCTGAGGGAAGACACTCCAGTGCTTTATGCCATCTGGGGAGCAGAGGTGGCAACCTGGGACTTAGGCTGCTCGTCTGCCTTGGCTTAGCCTTCTCTGATTGTTGTACCCCAGCATGCTCTCCCAGAAAATCCAGGTGGCATGCTAATCCCCCCAGGGGTCCCAGGAGCTGCAGAAGTGACTCTGCCTGAGTAGCTGTCTGGCATCATCAGGTGCCTCTTGGAAATGGGGGGCGGGCCTCCCAAGTGGCAATGTTCAGAGTTCAAGAAGCTACAGGGTTAGCTACATTGCCATGAAGTGTGGGATGTAGCCTCGCTCAGCTCTTCTAGCGAGAGAATGACGTGGCCACTGGCGATCTAAACGCTTTCATTGCTTGTGCTTGGTGCAGAGACCGTAACCTGACTGAGGTGCGCTGTGGGGTGATGCGTTCCTGGGCTGTGAGCTGTCAGGAGAACAAGCTGCAGTTCTCCACCTGGCTCTGCCATTGGAACAGTCTCTGGTTCGGACAGCGCTGAGGGAGCAATGCTGGCGAAGGAAGGAGTCTCTAAGAAGAAGGAAGTTTTAACCACTGCACAAGTTTTTGTAGAAGCACGAGCCCTTGTAAGAATGTCTGGTCGGTGCTGTCAGTTCTGCCACCCTGTGCAGCCACCCTGTGATGCAGACCTCCTTCTTGAACAGGGAAGGGGCTGTGCTGCACGCACACATCAGCTGTCGTATGAGCAAATCTCTTACATTCGGGGGTCATTGGGGACGTTGCCGAAGGGACGCCAGGCTGTCTTCCAGACCTGCGGAGTGCCCAGCCTCTTATGCTCTTGTGGTTCTCGTGCCAAGGATGGGCACCAGACTGGGGATGGACAGCAAGGAATAGGGCAAGGAATGTGATGAAAGGGCCCTCTGACGTGAAGCCTGAAGCCACGTGGCAGGAAGAGGCAAGAGTTTACATGTTTTCACTGATGAAAGGGTTTCCTGTAGTAGAAGGAGCCTTTCTTGACTGCATTTGGTATTTTGTTTCTTCTAGCACATCCAATGCACCAGCTCAAACAGAGGGCATTTCTGCAGCAGGTATTTGCAGAGGGAGAGGCCTCGCGCACGTGCTAGACTCCTTGTGTGGGAGAAGACTGCCCTGCTAGATGAATGGTTGTTCAGTCTTCTGATACATGCACATTGTGAATATAATGTCCTCAGAGACCCCCTTCAGAGAGCATAACAATGCTCTTTGCAGAAAAAGTCGTGCCCTGTCAGCATGCCCGGTTTGAGCGGAAGCTCCTGCTCTCCCATGGGTTGTAGAGTTAAGGAGCTGGGACAGAGAGGAAGAAAAACCTCTCAGAAGAGCAATTGCCTAGGCCTGCCCGACTGGATTCAATAGGTCTGCTCTCCTGTTACAGTACCTCCCGAGGTGGCTGCTGTCACCCTGACTTATCCAGGATGCTACCAACTGAAAAAGCGGTTCTCTTGACGGTGCACATAAAACAACATGTTTGTGTTCTTTGGAAGGACAAATCCTGACTTAGCGATGCTGCTGCTGTATGCCATTTCCCAAGACCGGAATGTGTGTGGTACGCTGCTGTGAAAAGATGCACAGGAGGGAGCTTCAGAGTGTCTCAAATGTTTGGTCAGGTAGAGAAGGCCAGAGTCACCTAGGGCTTGAATTGAAAGTGCTGGTGTATGCCAGCAGAAGGGACTCTTTCCTGTTATTCCTG